ATTGGACGATGAAATTTGTCAGTATTATAAGAAAATTCTTGTCAGAAATGTCATTCAACTTATCAACCATATACTTCTCAAGAAAGAAGCAATAAAATTTAATCGAATAATCAATTTCTCTTTTTTATCATCAATCCTTGTTCGAATTCAGAATTGAAGAATGATTTACTGTATTCTATTTTCTTATAAAATCTCTCATACGACAAGCAATATCAGTGTCTGTTTATTCGATCCTTCTCTGCGCGCTCTCGAACACGAATCTGTCTTTCTTCCAAGAAACAAGACATATTATCAACGGAATAGAAGCAGAAGAAAGAAGAATGCCAATAGAAACAGACAGATATGGATAACAAAGAGAGATGTTGTGAAGGCATGTAGACAACATGTCTGTAACACCGAATTCGAAGAAAAGACAATGTGTATATTTTCACATGATATGATCACAATGTTGTTCTCGTGTCTGTATGTATAACAACAGATTCAGTTTTTCCAGTTCTCTTATGTCAAGTATATTTTATCGTCAACTGACTCGTTCATATCACACGTACATAGAAAATGGGAACGAGAAACAAAGAATGGGAATGGGAAGAACGAAAGTATAAACGCAGAAGAGAAATATACGTGAGACAATGTCAAGACGCAACTTTTTATCTCCTAACGTGTGTAAATGATTTGATAGTCATTTATGATTCTTTCAAGTTTCAACCTGAAATACAGTAGATGTCAAAAGTCTTGAACCAATTTTTTTTAGGTGGTATTCCACAATGGTACAATATTTTCTCAATTTCTTTTTGTGTATTGGATAGAGCAGCTCGAGTATTACATATATACATTTAATTGATATGAATAGCTCTTGAATATCAAATACAAGAAATAAAATAAACCTCGAGATTTCCTCTCATGACACCACAATGATTGTGAAAATGTTTTATGTTTAGTTTGTTCTGTAGCAAACTATTCGTTCTTTTCATTGGTGGAATGACACATTATCTAACAGTTTGATTCGTTTCGCTGCATGAGAAGCTGTAAGTGTCTCTACAGGTATCTAATATACATCTTTATGAACGTGCTTGCTATTGACTTCGAACTATTGTTGATACTCGTTTCGTCTAATACGAGACATTGGATCGAATGGTATGAAGCTGATTACATCTATTGGTGCATCCAAACTTCACTTCGGAAGAGTTTACGTCAAGTAGCGACAGTGATGCTGGCTATGAGAAAGTGTCTTTTTTTTGATGGAATTTTTTTCGTGCCTCTCGAGGTTTGTTTTGTTTCTTGTATTTGATATTCAAAAGCTATTCGCGTCAATTAAATGTATATATGTAGTACACGAGCTGCTCTATCCAACACACAAAAAGAAATTGAGAAAATATTCTGAATACCACCTAAAACAAAAAATCGGTGCGAGACTTATGATGTCCATTGTATTTTCTATGGACACACTCTATAACATAAACTTTTTTTAGCACATAAAACATAATCAAATATTGGTTAGCTCAATCATGTGGTATACAGTACAAAATGCATCAAAAAGTTTGACTTTATTAATCAAAGTTTTCTGACAGTAAAAATGAAAAGAATACGTAAGATTCAATTGGATTTTATCAGAAATTACGGATAATTTTGCTATAGCAAGCCCTTAGTTTTTGTGTTCTTTGGCGTTTTTCAAGCTTCAAGATGATTAAAATGAAAAATAGCGTAAACAATTATACACCAGTCAATTCAATCAGCTGATTTTGTTCATTTCAGCTGCATAGTTTCGCATCACATTTCAAAATCAAATAGAACTCGAGGAGTTACTTTTATTATCTTAGAAATATAGAATTCGCCACAAACATCAATCTGTCTTTCAAAATAAAAAGAATGCACACCCTGTCTCATTTACGAAATACAGGATGCTCCAAAAGTCCGATCACAACAGAAACTTCAAATACAATCCCAATGTCTATAGAAATCAGAATATAAATAATTTCATTCATGATTAAACCAACATTGTAAAAGAGTTATTACGTATTGCATTTTGAAACAACACGCCTATTAAGGATTCCATTAGTAACACCTTTTTGCCTTCTGTGTTTGCTGTAAGTTTTCTCATAATCGTTCTATCTATGATAATAAAAATTTAATAGTCTTCATCAGTAAATATTTCTTCATCATTATCATCATCTTCTTCTTCATTAGTAAATTCTTCAGACGTTAAATCTAAAGCAGTTTCACGTTGAGCTTCTTCCATTGCTTTTTCAAATTCTACAGTTGGATCATTTTGTTCTATGAATTGTTTTTTCAATTCATTTTCAGGTAGAGATGGTTGAGACGGATTAAATTGTTCATATTTTTGTCCCCAACCAACATATAAATTAAAATAATTTCTAAAAAATAAACAATTAGAATATTTATATAATATGATTCAATATATATATTTACCCAGCATTACCAAGAGTAAAAGCACCAGGCCAAATATTTGATCGTACAAAACATAAACTATATTCATGCATTATAGACATTGTTAAACCAATTGACCATGGAGTTTGATTAGTATCTAAGAGTTTATCATCTCCAATAGGTTGTAAAAGTGGTGCAGGTATTTCAATACTATTTCTATCTAATGTTTCTTCGTCTTCTTCTTCATCTGCTACACTTAAATTTGTTGTTTTTGTAGAAGGTGGACGCCAAAAATGAGTACGTCCTTGTAATAATATTTCCGGTAGAGTATGTACCCATTCTTGTAAATTTATATCAGCTAAGAATTCAACTGTAATTAAATGTGTTGAATCATTATTATATTCAGAATTGAGTATAATATTTGGATCTATTTGTTTTTTTTTTCCTCAAATTATTTTCTAATGTTAATTATTCAATTGGGTTTTTTTACCTTTTCGTTCATTATTAAAACTTATTTCTTCTTCTTCTCTATTATCTGTTAGAATATAATATCCAGCTGGTGATATATGTGTTGTTGCTGTAATACGTGCAATTTGTGCTCGTAAATAATCTTTTTCTAAACCAGGATATGGTGGAAATCCATTAACTTTCGATAAAAGACAACCAGTAAATAAACATCGAATTTTTCTTGCATATTCAATCATAATTGGTTTAACATCAGGTAATTTTATCCATGGAAGTCCAGGTGAATTCGTTACAAAATATGTATATTGATTTGTACCAATTCCATGTGGTTCACTTGGAATTTCAAATGATAATTTCTCCTTAGAAAATAATTAAATATAGTTTTTAATGTTATGTTATGTTTTTTTTTTTTTGTTTACTTGTTCTTGATTTAAATGTTTAGATATTGAGAAATATTTTCGATTTCTTGATTGATTACAAATATCAATTTCATCAAATGGAATTTCTTTTTCATGTTGAACCTTTTCTTATAGGAAAATTTATTTATCTAATTGTTTTATTAATTATCTTACTTGAATAATATAATAATCACAATAAAGTCCAAATATTTTTCCCCAAAATTTCATTTCAGTACAATTAATTTCATTATTTAAACGTTTCATAGCTGACCAAATTCTATTGCAAAAAAAAAAATAAATAACAATAAATAATTAAAATTTATTTTTTGATATGAAACAAAAATGTTTTCATACAATATAATTTCTGTTGTATGAATACCATAACCAGCACTTGAACAATAATAAACCATTTCTATTAGATCAGGAACAGCTTTAATCATATAATCTTTAGATTTAAGTAAATCACGTTGTTTTCCCTAAAATTATTATTTTTCAAAATTTGAAGAAACTTATTTTTTTTTTTATATAAACTTCAAGTAATTGAGCATGTATTTTCACCATTGTTAATTTAGTATTATCCTCTGTTGGACGTAAATTTGATTGTAAAATTGGATATTGTACATATTGATTTAGTTTTTCAAAAAAATTATCTATAATGTAATACAATTCAAAATGACATATAAAATAGAGATATTCAGAGTTACTTTGTACATCTTTACTATGATGCTATTTATCACTTTTATAGTTTTTCAACTAAGGTAATATTAAGAAAACTAATGACACTAGAATAGAATGCAATGTTGGTGTCAAATTATTTTGACATGTTGAAAGTCTATCTTGCACATGTCTAATCGAAAAGAAAAACTTCATCTTACCCAGGGCCGGCGGAATGTTTTGAAATTGGGTGAGACTCAATGGAAGTTTATTAGCTATTGTAAAATGATATATCACATATCAGCATGAGATAATCGAAGCGGATTTCAGAAAACCATAAGAACATAGTGAGTGAGTTTATTATTGTCTGAATTTCTTAGCTTTCTTTATCACAACATATAAATAAACGTATTAGAAGTTTGATTCTTCGAACTGAAATAATATTTAACTGATAAGATAAGTCTAAACCATCGTGCAAAAAAATATCGAATTCATAGTTTGGGTGAGGCTCATGCCTCACCTAGCCTCTAGGGTTCCGCCGCCTATGATCTTACCTATATTATTTTGTGGATTTTGAATAGTATTAGCAATAATAAATGCAAGATGATCGTATCTAAATGAAATTAATAATAAAAATATAATTATAATCTATGTTTCATACAAACTAATATCATTATAATGATATGTTTGAAGTAAATAAGCTTTTGCATTGATATAAGCATGTTTATTTTCATATTGTCGAAATATAGTTTGATATTTTAAAAATGTATCTATATTAATAATAATAATGAAAATAAATCTATTGAATTTTAATTCTAACCTGCATCCCAAGTAACCCATATAATAAATGGAATTGATGAATGAAGTATTAATTTAAAAATATCTATTTCTTGTAATTGATTAGAAATCATTGTTTTATTTATGATCTTTAATTTATTATTAGAAATATCATTTTTTTTTAAAATATTTTCTAAATAAATTAATAAAACATTAACTTACAAGAATACGATCTCCTTGTTTCAAATAATTCTTTAAATCATAATAAAAAACTTTTTCTATAAACCAATAATCATCAATTTTTATTATATCAAATGGTATTTGATGTAAACGACGTGTTAAAATTATAAAACGTATATTTGCCATTTGATTGAGACCAATATCCATTGGTAAATACACTTCTATTAATGATAATTTATATTAATAAAAAACAAAAAAAAAGAGTTTACCTTGATCAGTCATTATATCAATAAGTTGACTTGGTGTTTCAACATTAAATGAATAGGCAAATGGCATTTTTTTTGATTCCATTTTCATAATAGTGTTATGTTCAAACGTTTATTTTCAATTTGACTTTGACTCATTTCTTTTGTTTAAATCAATTCGCGCGAAAATAAATATATCTAGTACAATTTTCAGAATATTCCATAACTCATTTTGTTCTACTAATTACTTAGGAGATTTCTCTGAAATTTTGTTTTGTTTTTTGTTATTTCTTCGAATAACAGTGAGCTTATGTTTATTTATTGTTATTTTTGCATAACATAACTAAACTACGTCAATTAAAATATTTTTTTTTTTCGCATAAAAACTTTTCTTGTTATCTGATAACGTGAAAGTTCTTGTAACCTATCAAAATGTGACATATTTTTTTCTTGTATATGTGAAAGTTTTTTATGCCATAAATAATGCTCTTAATCTAAAGTACATATTTAAACAATAAAAAGTACTTGACGACGACGACAACAAAAAAAAAACAAAATTCTAAAAACATTTTCTAATTTGCAATAGTTTTGATTGTGTGTTGTTATTTTCTTTCTTCTTCTCCAATGAAGTTTTTCTTTCACTTATGTCAATAACTAATATTAACAATATAAGAGCAAATTAATAAGTGGTTATTAATCAAAACATTATTTTTTTTTTTAGTTCTCAACATTATCATCAAACTATCATTTTTCTTTATTGAAGCAACTTCTTAATAATTCTATACAAGTTTTGTTTATTAGATAAAGGTTGAAATACTTATTTGACATATAAATATTTAATAAGAATTTTTTTTTGTCTTTTCTTAATAAATAAATCTTTTCATATCTCGAAACATCATTTAAATATTTATATTTTTATTAAATTCTAAATCTGGATATAATTATTAATCATTGAAAATAATCATCATGATCTCATTTGTCATATTTCATTTTCTACCAATATATCAATTGTCGATGGACATCTGTTTACATTATGTTTGACGTTGAAAAGGTCATCTTTATATATACATCAAGATTAATTCAATACTCTCTCGTTCGTTAGTTCTTTCTTTTCGGAGACAAAAAAAAAAAAAAAGCAACAACAATATATGTGTACGTGTCGATGTTGACAACACAAGCAAGAGAAAAAAAAAACAAAAAAAAAGAAAGGAAAATCAAGCATACATAACAAAGTGCTTTAGACTTCATAATACCATTCATATTTATACATGCAAAAGATTTTTCATTCAATTTCTTTGAAGTTAAATCTATCAGTTGATTTCTAATTTTCTACGAATGGTATAATTATTTCTCTTGCACTTATTATGAATTTCAAAAAACAAAAACAAAAACAAGAAATGCAGTGAAAAAAAAAAAAAGAAAGAAGTAATCATAACTTTGCTCAACAACTCGTTTTTTTTTTTTTTTCTTCTTCTTCTAACAATGACAATACTTTCAATTTTACTAACGGAAAACAAACGAATGGAGAAGCAGCTAGAATAAATATATGTATATACTATCAGACATAAACTAAACTCTTCTCATCTGCTTCCATTTTTGATTAATCTACTATGAAAACAGAAGAAACTTCGAGGAAGACAAAAAACGAACAAAGGACGTCATTCCAAAGCAGAGATCAAACACAAAAAAAAAAAGTAGAAAATGGCAAATAATATGCTCACAACTCGCTTGCTTTCCCCCTCTCTCTCTCTCTTTGACATATACAATTCAAATGAAATAAACAAACAAAAAAAAAGAAATACTTAAAGCATGACCGATATGCAATAAGTATCAAAAAAAAAAAACGAGGCACAATATTGAAATAGTGTATGATAGTTTCAAATTCACACACTAGACAATAAAAACAAAAAGAATAATAATAATGAAATATGTGTATGAATGAGAAAGACAATAAACATACACATATATATATGTCTATATATCTAAATGAGATGATAATATGAAAGATTTTGATGAATTATTTTGTTCATGTTGGTCGAGCATTAAGTCTTGGTGATGGTAAATCACCAAAAACTTCTGTACCATCAGTACACATTGATCGACTTAAATCACGAAATGATCTACCAATACGTTCAATATCATCATTACCATCATCTTCCTTGAATAAAAAAATATTTACAAATTATTATAAATATTTTAATAATTATACTTGATGAGGAATGGTATATATATTTGATGGACGAAAAGCAATTGTTTTAGGTAATGATGTTGCAAAATTTATATTACCATTATCAATAAACCAACCTGAATAAAAATCAATATAAAAAAAAAAAAGAACAAGAAGAAGATTAATTTACCTCGATTATCAAGCATAGGATCATCATTTGTTTCATCATCTAAATTTGTATTACGTTCAGATAATGTCTGTAATAAATAAATAAGAAAAAAACAAAAAAAAATATTCATAAAAATTCGTACTCGTTCCATATTTGATGAATGTCGACCAAAATCTGTTGCATTTACATCAAAAATATCTGAACCAAATCCTGATTCCGTACTATATTGAAAAATAAAAATGAAAGTAAACATTTTTTTTTTTGTTGTATTTTATAGGTTTGTGTTTAAAATACCTATTTTCATTTATATATGAACTCGATGTTTGTAATGTTGGCGATCCTTTTGCACTTGGTGTTTGTCGAAATGTTGACCGCATTAAACTAATGAAAAACAAAAAAAAATTATTGTTTTTTTACTTAATAATAATAATAATTCTATTATGTAAAATTTACTTTATAAATTTATCTAATTCTTTATTAAATTGTTCTGTTTTCTTTTCTAATAATTCTTCTTGTTCTCGTTGATACATTCTATATAATACCAAAAAAAAAAACATGAAAATAATTTTTCATATTTAAATAAATAAAACTTATTACCGAATTTTTTCTTCGGTTTCTCGTTCTATATCTTCTATTGATTGACGACAAATTCGTTGAGCCAATTCACATTCGCGTTGAATATTTTCATCTTAGAAAAACAAAAAGAAAAAAACACGACGTAAATTTCTTCGCTTTTTTTTGTAATTATGTTACCTTGTGAACTAGATAAACGTGGCATGTTTATACTGTTCATCTTATTTGGTAACACGATTTTTGCTATTTCCGAATAACTGGGATCATGATATACAGTGCTTGCTGTTGTTTCATCCTAAAATAAAGTCATATTCATAGATATTTTTTTTTCTGTTAATAAAAAAAAAAGAAATTCTTATTCAATCATACAAGAAGATCTTTATTAATTAACATTCGACTTGGAGCAATATTAGTAACATGTGTATATAAATGACATCCTAAGCACCGGTTCAATTTCATGTCACGCACAGGTACTGATTGAAGAAGACTTTGCCATGTAATATGTATCGATTGATCGGATGGTACATCGCATAAAAACCATTCATGTTGTATATTAACAACTTGTACTAAATCAACGGGTACAAATTCTATTTTTTTTGTAGAAAGAAAAAAATTATATATTAATAATATAGAAAATTTTCAAAAAATTCATACGTGATATCGTCTCGTGATCATCATTTATTTCTAATACATCAATATTAACATTGAGACAATGACAATAGAAACGCATGACTAGAAAAAACGAACTAACACACTCTCACACACACGCACACTTTATGTCTAAATGAAATCTTAAATATAAGAAAAAACAAAAAAAAATTTTTTATTTATTGCTGAATATGTTTTTTATCAATTAATGACGAAAATAGTTTTACTTATGATAAAAAAAAAAAAAAAAAAATCAAAGTACTTAAATAGAAGCATAAACAAGTCGAATATGCCTTTCACGAGAGCATTTTATTTCTTTCTTGTTCTCTATGTTTGCAATATGGTATGACTCATATGCTTTAATCAACATGTTTATTTTAAAAGACAAAATATTAAAAAAATCATCAAGTTTATTCCATTTGAAGAAAAGAGCTATTTTAAAATTTGTTCGTTTTTTTGTTTTTTTGATAAACTTTATTCAATTTTTTTTTCAATACCAATGTCGCCATTATAGCAATGTAATATGATTGGTTCAATTCGTATATTCAATCATTATTAATATTTTCTTTTTCTTCATTCATTTTTTTTGGGTTAAAAAAGAAAAAAACTTGGTTTTCAAATAAATAAACAAATAATATTAACAAATCCAATTTTAAAGTTAATCAAATATCAAAAAATATCCTTGAAAAATTAAAATAGTTCTTGTTTTTTTGCTATATTGATTGAAATTTAATAATGTTGTAAAGTTTTTTTTTTTTTTTATGATAGTTTATTCATCTATAATTATGAAATTTTACAAGGCTTGCTATTTGATAACAGTTACAAATATTTCTGCAAAGAAAAATGATGTCATTATTTATTGAGTTGTTTTTTTATGAGTGTGAATAAAATCTAGAAACAAACTATTCGTAAATAATGCTGTCATGCCGTTCTTCCTACGAAACATATATGTTTTCATTATCTATGACAGGCATATTTATGAATATGTATTTCGTTTAAGCCGATTTTTAGTGACAAGTTTAACTATTGTTTGACCTGATTGTTTTACCAAATCTTGTCTGAGTACTACTTTTTATAACTTTATTTTAGATAATTTGTTTAATTAGCCATATTAAATTTATTTATTCTACAATTATAATTTTATTATTCGACAAGAGTACTTATCATATAATTTTATTATATTGAAATATTATTTTTTGGTCTTTGTTTGTTTGTTTTTTAGAAAATCAAAGAAAAAAAAAATGACAATAAAAGTTTATATGACAAATATAACTAGTAATCAATTAATCATTGGTAATCAACGAAAATTAAAACATATTTTAGACGCTAATAAAATAGATTATATTGATATTGATGTTAGTGATCCAAAAAATATTGATGAAAAAGAATTTTTACAACGTACATTAATATCATCAAAAAAAATATTACATTTACCACAAATATTTATTGATGAACAATATTGTTGTGATTTTGATGATTTATTATCTGCTGTTGAATCAAATACACTTAAAGAAATATTAAAATTAGATAATTAATAAACATAACAAAAAAATTTTCATTGATTTTGTACTACGCTTATATAAACACCGGTCTTTTATGTTTGATTTCACTTGATATATTTATATTGTTTTTGTCTTGTGATTGAATATATATATACATAATGAAATTCCATGATATCATTTTTAGATATGACAACATTAAAATTTATACCATATTCAAGTGCATTAGATACAGGATTTTGGCATGAATTAACACGTCGAAAACTTGATATTTATCGACTTGATTCATCGAATCAATCGATTTATGGTTATTATTCAAATGGTAAAAAAAAATGAAATATAAAATTGATCAACATATGATCTGACGCATATATATTTTTTTCTATTTATTTGCATAGATGCAAATGATAATATGCCAGCATTATTCAATATTGATCATCGATGTTTTGATGAGTAAGTTAAGAAGAATCTCTTTTTTTTGTCTTAATCTATTTAATAAATATTAATTTACTCTTGAATTCTATCAAATTTTTTGATAATGGCTATATATATTTTTTTTTTAATTACATGTAAAATCAATATAATAAGATGATTAATTTAGATAATTCGATTTAATTGAAAAGATTACTCGTTTTGAAGTTTAGATATTATATCTAGGCCAGTTTCGTTTTTTTAAAAACACGTAGTCTTAACGAAAGTATTTAAAACGACGGAGATAAACTAAATAGAAATGTGTCGATTATAAATTACGATAGCTTGTCTATAATAATTACATAACTGATAATGATGGAGTAATATTCGTAAAACATAAGAATAAGACTAAAATGTAGATTTGTACGGCATAGTTTAGATGAGTATGTCAATGAATAGAAGAATTTAGACTAAAAGCTCTGAGGAAGTAATATTTTTTTGACTCTAATCTCGAAATTTTTTTTTATATAACACGATCTAAGAAGAATGTTGAAATATATGTGTAAAAATTTGGACTCATTCGCCCCCCCCCCTCGTGAGACTGTGACAGACGTTGAAATACAATCCCAGATTGTATATCAATAACGTCTTGTTATATTATATCAATTATTTCTGTATCATATTTCTGAAAGATTAAGTAAAAACCATAGCGAAAGAATGTGTCCTAAAATAGATTAAATAAAACAATTTTCCTATGATTAGTAATAGTAATTACATTCATATTTTAATCCCAGTAGACTTGTACTAACAACTTTTTTCATTAGTATATATATACTTTGTTTTATTCTATTACTTATTATTGAACATATGAAAGATAAAGTTGTTATTATGTTTAGAAGGAATTCTAATCTCAAACTCAATCTACATGTTCTTGTTATTATCACTGTATCAATCATATTTAATATAATTGACAATTTTTGAGTCTATAATATAGATATTTTCTAATTTGTTATTAATTTTTTTGTTTGCCTTTGATTTCTACTTTAAGAACATTTGTCCTTAATAGGTCAAAGAAATTGTTCGCAATCTGTCAATAGCTTTATGAGTAATTGTAGAACAACAATTGTTATCTATTAGTTCTAATGATACTAATAGAAAACTTATATATATATGATTAGCAAGGGAAATAAGATAATTTTCCTATCCTAATGTTTTTTTCTTATGTTCTGTATTACACATAGCTGACATTTTTTACTTGTTCGATAGAACAGATGGCCTATTATAAAAATGAAATTCTAATTTGTAAATATTTTTTTTTTCTAAAGAAAATAATTTATTAAAAAAAGACAAAAATATGGTTTTCATATACAATATATTTCAAATTCATTTAGTATTAAATTCAGTTGAATATCTAGGTAGCAACATCAAGTCTCATCATAGTCACTATTTTAGTTAAAGCAATAAAATTAAATGAAAACTTTCATATTATTGAATTTATATAAATAATTATTTAGAAATAATAAAATTTCAAATCAACAACAACAATATTCTGTAAATGGTACTTTAAAACTTGTTAATACAATTGAAGAATTTAAAACATTTGATATTGAGAGTGCATTAAAATCTGAAAGTAGTATTGTAAGATTCAATTAAAATCTTTATATAAGTGAAGAGCACATCAATTGTA